ACGTTCTTCAAACGGTCAGGATGACCAACTTAAATTGCTTTTGACATTAATTCACGGTTTAGTTTCAAGTCGCCCATTTCTTTCCACCTTGAACCGTATGTCCATTGCTGAAATGGGTCTTTCTCTAATTCCGCATATAATTTCGTCTGCCGTGACGCCGTGAACTTTCCGAGATTCATAGGTATTTTACAAAAGACTATATTCGTAAATCAAGAGTAGCGAAATCTGAGACAGAGTGGAAATTTACGCTAAGTATATTTTTTCTCTCTCCTTGTTTTATGTGGAGTTATGGCATTGTCCTGCATGAGATATTCTGCTATGATATTTGAATCTCGTAGTAATCGCGTGAACCATAAATTTTAGCCATACTTTGTAGCCGGGTAATTTAAAGTAAAATGAGCTTGTATTGTGAACTTCAGACTGGGCCAACCGCATGGATGAACATATTCAATATCTCCAGACTCTTTGTCGTCTTCGTGGCACAAATCTGCCGTGGACCAAGAAGCTTTTAAATTGGAGCTCGGGGTGAAATTTCAAATCAATTTCGATCTTGACAGCAGAGAGATTCATCCATCCTCAATCAGCTCGGGGTGCAAGCGATCTCTCTAAAGAGAGGTAACTGAATTTTTTTGTTGCACTCAGAAGAAACGACTAATCCAGGAGGTTACTTCAGGAGTTACTTAATTAAAGAGCAGACAAAAACTGTGGCAAGATGATGTTAACATCCAAGTAGATGAAATTAAAACCAAAGAAAGAAAGCGTGTTTGTTTTCCTGTTTGTCAAACAACAATGGAAAGCCTTGCCGAAGTGTTTCTATTGACAGTTTAACTACTCGGGCTTCTGTAGGAAAGCCCTAGTCTGAAAATGCAAGCCGTTTTGGTCGCCAAAAGGGGGGTCATGGTCCCAGGCGTTCCTTGCGTAAACCGCGGAAACTGGGGATGAGAGTGCGACAACGTATCGTGAGCTCGCTCTTCGAAAACAACGTAATTTACAAAATGCTGTTTTTTGTGAAGACCGCCTTGCAAAGATTCCTGTCTTTTAGGCTCATCCTAAAATGACAGAAGCAACTTAAATAGCAAGGTTAAATATAGAAGCTTAGCTCTTCCGTTAAATATCCTGTTTCTGTTACTGGTTTTTATTTGGTTCAATACTTGTAAAGTACGATTCGGTATTTTGTACATAATCACTATTAACATATGGTTCATGCGTTAGCGTGCGTTGATCGAGACTTGAAACACGCGTGAAGTTTGGAGAGCACGAAAGATGCCTAAGAGTTGCTCTCATCTGCGCCTCGAGCAACTCTAGCTTCTTGAGTTGCTTCTTGAGTGCAGCGCTCTACCAATTGAGTTAACAAGCCAACTGCTCCCGATCTTGCACAAATACGTTTCTATAACAGCAGTTCAGATATATGAATTTCATATATTCGTTGTGTTTGATATATTATTGCTAACTAAAAGCTGTANAAAACAAATTAAGTCTACGGAAAGAACTATGTGATTAATTCAAGTTGGCAGCGAATTATGTTGTGAGAGGTGAATACATAAGATAAAATAGATAAGGTAGGATGGGCGAGACAAAGGTGAAAGCTACTAAGAGTATTTACTAACTTTAGAGATCATCGATTCTAATTCTTCGTAGGAGTCTTCAAATTCTAATATATTAAACAAGATCGTACGAATTTTCCTTTTAAAGATGAGTTTTGGTAGTGTTCGGAGCTTAGTTGGTATCTCATTCCACAGTTTTGCACCGATTCTTGAAAACGATTCAATTTCAAGTTTTGATTTTTTAATATAAAAGTTGTTAGAAGCTGAAGATCGCGTATTATATGAATGAATTTTTGCGGTAGGGATGAACAAATCTTTCAATTGTGAAGGAATAACATCATTATATACACTATGCATTTTCTCAGCTAGCAATTTATAATACAAAAAGTAAATAGGTTAAGTCTTTGCACAAAGGAACAGAGGAATGACGTGATCATACCTGTCAGCGAAGCATTTGAAACGGAGGGTACGTTTGTGGAGGATCAAAAGCTTATTTAATTGAGTTTTGCCAGCTTGTCCCGCATGCACTGGCTTGTCTTCTTCCACGAGAAATGGTACGCATTCCAGAGGCTCTACGAGACGTCCAGATTTTCAGCAAATCACAGAGAAAGACATTCACTTTAGAAAATGTCAAAGGGAAGCTGGATCGGCAGGATTCAGCACTTTCTACTGAAACACACAGCTGCGTGGTTCGCTCCGATCTGGCAAAATAACCAGGATTGCGAAGGGTAAGTTACCGTTTTCTTGCTTTACTGTTACAGTTTTGTACAGGCTTGTTGGACTGAAAATTCAGTGATACATGCCTATTTAAAAATCGTTGAGAAAGGTAAACGCTAGACGTATTTACATGACAGACATCATGGATGTGAGGTGTTATGTCTGTCGAGATGTTTGGTCAAAATCCAAACAACGTTGCTCGAACTATTGGAACGGTGCTTCACCTCAAAACAGAAAAATTTCAAAACGTTGGCCATATGCGTTGAAGTGTGGACGGAATTCAATTAGAAAAAACAGAGCTTTTTCGTGAATACACTGATGTCAATATTTTTGTCTTTTTTTTCTGTGGGATAGCTAACAATTCTACAGCGCCATGTTCTACCGAAGTGCAAGTGACGTGAATAGATGGATATTTACCGTGCTGCGAAGCAGCGATGTAAATATCCACCACTTTCACCGACACTGAGGTGAATAATTGTTTTAGTATATACTAAACAGAAACCAAAAAAAAAGTTCATTTCGGTTAATATACCACATACTGTCTGAAATTTTAAAAAACTCTTAAAGCGCGGTTACTCTCCGACTGCTCGAAGTTGAATATTACTCGCCAATCGCTTCCGAACTAGCCAATCAGCGCACGGGAAAACTGTTATTTACCCGTGTGGTAATACTGTAAAGGTTAGGTGGTGGTTGTTCTATTTACAGATTTACCCTGCGTTACGTAGACCCTTATTAATCCTACGTTCAGTCGCTATTAATATTTTATCTTTTGCGGAAAGTCATTGACAACTTTCTTTTCGCATTCTTTTTGTAACAGACTTCATAACAGAACTGTCTAAAGCATTGACTGATCGTGCGAGAAATTATGGCTTTGCGAATAAGTATTTCTGCCATCAACGAGCTTGACTACAAAGAATTTATTCATAGGTTTGGAAATGTTGTGGATGGCACCTCTTCTTTTGCAGCGGCTTTGTTCTCCAAGAGACCATTTGCATCATTTTACCAATTCGTCACAGCGATGTGGCAGCTTTTGGACGACCTTCCGGAAGATGGTAAAGAAGGAATTCTAAGAAACTACTGTCACTTAGCAAGCCGCTGGGAAGCTTTATCAGTGGAGTCCAAAAGCGAGCGGACACAGACTGGAATAAGCATCAAATCCCTTAGTACCGAAGAAACTCGGGATATGGAATATTTCAACGAGATGAACAAAAAGAAGTTCGAGTTTTCTTTCGTGACTTGTGCTCGTCTAAACAATAAGGAAGCTATACTGCAACAATTTCGTGCGCGTTTGAACAATGATAGGAACAGAGAAATCGAACACAGGATCGAAGAAGTATAAAAGATAGCGCTGCTGA